CGAAGATACCGCGGTAAGTAGGTCTAAGTACGTCAGCTTCAGCTACGTTATTCATGTAGCTGGAATTGCGTAACTAGATTGATGGCCCGCAGTAGAGTAGACTCTTGCTATGAGAAGGGTTGATGTGCTGTTGGCCTCATTTCATCAGGATGTTAGGGTACTTTAGATGCTTTTTTGGTGCCCATAGACTTAGGACGGGAAATGAACTGTAGTTACATGGTTGCTCTTCCTGCACGGTAATAAAGGTAGTTCAGGGTTGGCTCTGTGTGAATGTCTCACCAGGGAACCCTAAAGGTGCTCCAGTGAAGGACAGGAATGGGATACCTGGAAAGCACCCTAGATTAACACTTCCTTCGACAATGAAGATAAGAGAAATAAATGCTGTTAAGCTCTTTATTCTGTCCTGAAGATCTCTCTGGAGTTGGACACAGTGCCTGAGTATTTTGGATTTGTGGGTCAGTTGGACTATTCCTCTATCTATATATTGAGAGGCTGGAGGGTTCCTTGGCTGCGGATAGTTGAGCAGATGACACGAGTTACTCTCCGTTTGAACTCTGAGAAGTGGAACTTGCACAAACTGTTACTTATGCTCTCAGCACAATGGGACCCAGATCTCTTTGGGGACTCTGTGTGCCTCTTAATGGTAATCAGTGATTCACTGCTAAACCGTATTGTCTCTCTAACATATTGCACTTAATAGGTTAATCTCTCATCCTGGAGTGCATAAATGCTGCCTGAACCTCCTCTCTACTGTCTTCTCTCCCTTATTGAGGTTCGATCATGTAGGGACAAAGTGAGAGAGGCTAAAAGTCAGGTAGAGTTGGACCTTGCAAAGGGAATTCAAACCAATAGTAAAAGGTTTTATAGCCATATAAACAGGAAAAAAACAAAAAAAAGACGACGACAGACAGGATGGAGTGGAGGTTAAGGATAATCTAGGCATGGCCCAATATCTAAACAAATACTTTGCTTCAGTCTTTTAATAAGGCTAATGAAGAGCTCAGGGATAATGGCAACATAACAAATGGGAATAAGGATGTGGAGGTAGATATTACCGTATCCGAGGTAGAAGACAAACTCAGACATCTTAATGGGAGTAAATCAGGGGGCCCAGATAATCTTCATCCAAGAATAGCAAAGGAACTGGCACATGAAATTGCAAGTCCATTAGCAAAAAATTTTAATGAATCTCTAAACTCAGGGGTGGTACCATTTGACTGGAGAATTGCTAATATAGTTCCTATTTTTAAGAAAGGGGAAAAAAAAGTGACCTGGGTAACTACAGGCCTGTTAGTTTGACATCTGTAGTATGCAAGGTCTTGGAAAAAATGTTGAAGGAGAAAGTAGTTAGGGACATTGAGGTTAATGGCAATTGGGACAAATTACAACATGGTTTTACAAAAGGTAGATCGTGCCAAACCAACCTGATCTCCTTCATTGAGAAAGTAACAGATTTTTTAGATAAAGGAAATGCAGTGGATCTAATCTACCTCGACTTTAGTAAGGCATTTGATACAGTACCACATGGGGAATTATTGGTTAAATTGGAAAAGATAGGGATTAATATGAAAGTTGAGAGGTGGATAAGCAACTGGTTAAAGGGGAGACTACAGCGGGTCATACTGAAAGGTGAACTGTCAGGTTGGAGGAAGGTTACTAGAGGAGTTCCTCAGGGATCAATTTTGGGGCCAATTTTATTTAATCTTTTTATCGCTGACTTTGGCACCAAAAGTGGAAGTGTCCTAATAAAATTTGCAGATGACACAAAGTTGGGAGCTATTGCCAATTCAGAAAAGGATCGGGATATCATACAGGAAGATCTGGATGATCTTGTAAATTGGAGTGATAGCAATAGGATGAAATTTAATAGTGAGAAGTGTAAGGTTATGCATTTAGGGATTAATAACAAGAATTTTAGTTATAAGCTGGGGACACATCAATTGGAAGTAACGGAGGAGGAGAAGGACCTCGGAGCCCTGGTTGATCATAGGATGACTATGAGCCGCCATTGTGACATGGCCGTCAAAAAGGCTAATACGATCTTGGGATGCATTAGGCGAGGTATTTCCAGTAGGGATAAGGAGGTGTTAGTGCCATTATACAAGGCATTGGTGAGACCCCATTTGGAATACTGTGTGCAGTTCTGGTCTCCCATGTTTAAGAAGGATGAATTCAAACTGGAACAGGTACAAAGAAGGGCCACTAGGATGATCCGAGGAATGGAAAACCTGTCTTATGAAAGGAGACTCAAGGAGCTTGGCTTGTTTACTTTAACCAAAAGAAAGCTGAGGGGAGACATGATTGCTCTCTTTAAATAGATTAGAGGGATAAATACCAGGGAGGGAGAGGAATTATTTAAGCTCAATACCATTGTGGACACAAGAACAAATGGATATAAGCTGGCTAGTAGGAAGTTTAGACTTGAGATTAGATGAAGGTTTCTAACCATTAGAGGAGTGAGGTTCTGGAACGGCCTTCCAAGAGAAGTAGTGGGGGCAAAGACCTATCTGGCTTCAAGACAAAGCTAGATGGGTTTATGAAGGGGATGGTTTGATGAGGTAACATGATCTTGGCAATTTATTGACCTTTCACTATCAGTGGGAAATAGGCCAATGGTGGGAAGAGTTGCTATAAAGAACTTTTTTCTGGGTGTCTGGCTCGTGAGTCTTGCCCCCAAGCTCAGGGTTTAGCTGATCGCCATATTTGGGGTCGGGAAGAAATTTTCCTCCAGGGTAGATTGGCAGAGGCCCTGGAGGTTTTTTCGCCTTCCTCTGTAGCATGGGGCATGGGTCACTAGCGGGAGGATTCTCTGCATCTTGGGGTCTTTGAACCATTGTTTCAAGGACTTCAATATCTGAGATCTAGGTGAGAGGATTATTCTAGCAGTGGGTGGGTAAGATTCTGTGGCCTGCATTGTGCAGGGGGTCAGACTAGATGATCAAAATGGTCCCTTCTGACCTTAAAGTCTATGAGATTTCCCCTCTTAGCCCCATAACAAATGGAGGAGAGAGGTGGTGGGGAGGGAGGGGGAAGGCACAAGGTGACTTGACTTCTACAGGGCTAAATTTGTTACTCTCATAGTAAGGGTTATTGATTTTTTTCAGATGCCATGTTAGTCTGTTTGTGCAAAAACAGCGAGGAGTCCTATGGCACTAGAGTAACAAAAGTATTTGGGCATAAGCTTTCCTAGGCTGGAACCCACCCTCAGATACAGGAAACGGAAACTTCCGTGTGGCAGGTAGAGATGGGTGTGTTACATGACTGTGCAGAGGGCCAGTGCTAGCGAGGTCACTTGAATTGGGATAGGGTGGATGTGGCTTATTCCCAAGAGCTGAGGTGGTGAGAATACCGAAAGAGGGAAAAGCACGTGTCCCAGTGAGGTAGGCCAGTGATGCGCAACCTGTGGGTCTTGGCATCCGGCTACCCGGATCGGAGCCCCGCGCCACATGGCCGCCAATAGCCAGGCCCAGCCGCAGGGGTCACAGTGGGGCGAAAAAAGGTTGCGCACCACTGAGCTAGGCACTCCCAGTCTATTCCAACCCAGTCTGGAGGTGTCAGTTTGCCCATGAATTCCAGCTTGGCAGCTTCAGGCTGATGTCTGGTTTTGAAGGTTTTTTGCTGAATTATGGCAGCTTCTAAGTCTGCTGCTGAGTGCCAGGGAGACTCAAGTGCTCTCCGACTGGTCTGCTGCTGAGTGCCAGGGAGACTCAAGTGCTCTCCGCCTGGTTTTTGAAGTGGGTCGTGCCCACAAAAGCCCATTTTTTGTTAGTCTCTAAGGTGCTGCAGGTCTGCCCGTTGTTTTCTGTGGTTATTGAATGTTACCCTCTCGATGGCAAAGTTCAGCAAAAAGCTCCTCACAGCCGGACTGCAGAGCTGGACCTAGCGTGCAAACTCAAGGCTGTCTGGTCTGAGGGGGATTCTGCCATTTTACTATGGCTTCACCATCTGGCATGCTGTGCCAGTGCAGCTTCTAGCAGTAGCTCCCTTGTGGGAGTAGAAGCTTCTACCAATGCTTAAGTGGTGCCTCGTGGTTTTCATGGGTTGCACTCCTGACTCTACCCCAGAGGGCGAGTATCTGAGTGTCTCCCTGAGCTCTCACCCATGTGTGGCTGCTTTGGGAGGAGAAGCCAGGCCACTTGACTCTTGTCTCCTGCCCTGTCCACATAACTTTTCTGCCAGCAGCCTTAGGCCAATAGGAATCGCCCCCACATGGGTCTCCTGTTTGTCCTACTGGCCCAGAATTGTGAATCCAGATGCTGGTTGTCTCAGGCAGCATTTCATAGGCCCTCCCCCTTCTGGTTCCTGCCTCTCATTTCATTCATGTGCTTATTGCACCCCCCCCCTTGGCATCGCCCCGCCTGGCGCTTTTCCACACAGCATCCCGCTCTAGCAAAGCCTCCTCGGCACAATCGGAATGTCGTCTGGTTGTGAAAATAAGGTGACTGCTCTGAAGCCAGCCTCTCCCCCCCCCCAGCTTCATCCTGCCCTCCTTCTCTCCCCCAAAGCCCCAGTTGAGGTACTGTCGCTATGGCCTCCGCTGCAGTATGACAAGCCCTCGTCTCTCCCCTGCTCCCAGCTGAAGGGCAGCTGGGCAGGAGCAGATTCCATTCTCTCTCACTCGCTCTTTTAGAGTCTACTCGCTCCTACTGCCTCTCACAGCTCAGGGTTTCAAACACAGCTGCCCATGCGTGCACGGACTTCGCTAGCAGAGAGGGTGTGAGGTGTCAGGTTTGGCTGGGATTTCTCCCTGGGACGTGGACAAATGCACATTGAATCAGCCTGACATTGCTTGACTGTAGCAACATCAGCTCCGCTCCCCTCTGGGGCTGGTTCAAGTAAACTGACTCAGCCCACCTCTGCATGCTCCTGGTTTGAGTGAAGGCTTGCAGTGTCTCACCTCTGTGTTTGTCCAAAGACCAGTAGGGCTAATATTGACCAAGTAGCATAACCTCTAGTTGCTCCCTCAACACGAGAGGCTAATCCTGTGCTTTTGTTTTCAGTGGGACTTCTCCTCTTGCATGTCTGAATGCTATGCTGCATACAAACTCCCGAGGGGAAGAGGGTATTTTCTATAAGGTTCCAGGGAGAATGGGAGTGTACACACTGAAGGTAAGTGTCTCAGATGGGGGGACTTTCTTAAAAAGTTTGTGACCTTTGTAGCCATTTTAACCGATGTTGGATGTTCCTCATCTAGGGATCCCCAGCGGGATAAGCAGTTGCAACAAAAGTGTCTCCAAAGTGCCTCAAACCTTAAAAATGCCCCTCTGCTCAGATAAGCACCCCTATCTCCCTCGTGCCCAGCCCCGCACTCCCGCCCTGCTCTTACAGACCCCCCCCAGCTGCTCCTGCATCCTACCGCCTAGTCATGAGGCAGCATCATGGATGGTTGGCCAGTGATTGGCAGAAAGGTCTGTGTTGAGCGGGGTGGGGCCATCTCTGAGTGAGACGATGTTCGGTCGTCGTGCCTCAGTCTCAGCGAGGAGGCGAAGGACTGCTCCGTGCGGGGTGCCTGTCCCCTAGGGGCAGGACTGGCACAGTCCTTGAATGGAGCCTAGTTCATAGCCATCAGATGGTTACTTTGTCACTCTTCATCAGGATTTGTACCTCGAGCTGAAAAATTCCCTCTTCCATACCCAGCTCACACCATTCAGTCCGCCAGCTGGGGAGCTGCTTAAAAAGGGGAGCCTAGGGTTTTATTTGAATCAGTCTCCTTTGTTAAATAATTAAAATCTTTATTTGCAATCTTACTCTCCAACTGAAGTGTTGAATTAACCAGCCTCTGGTACTGCTAGAGAGTCTATAGATTCAAGGCAGAGAGTGAATTTGCACATTTAATCACCTAAATGTCACCAGAGAATAGCATCTGTGTGTCATGGATGGAAAGAAAATGGGTGGTGTTCTGGGGGAAGTGTGTTGGAGGTCTCATGCATCCATCAATAAATCCTCAGAGCTTTAGGAAATTACAGCCTATATTACGCTCGACATGAAGTAACTATTTTGGACGTCATTATGGCAGGTAAAGATGAACTTGATCACTGGAGTGGAAGCTGGTGGTAGCTTTTGGGCCAGAAAATTATGAGCAAAAACATAAGCAAAAGTATAATTGAGAATTGAAAGCAATTGAAGAATTGATTAGATGGCCTGAAAGTCATAATTACATGTTCAAGTAAAAGGGCAACTTTTAGCCAAGAGCCCATCATGGGTGGCAGGGAAAGCAGAGGAAGCAATTAGAATACAACTTACAATACACAACAAGTTTTCTGTCTCTTCCCCCTTTTCAGTCAGTGTAAGTTAAATGTTCCTGGTGCTTGTCTCGATCTAGACATCTGTATAATCTGCACTACGCTTGGCATTACTGCACTGAAGAGCCAAATCTCTGGGCAGCCGCTCATGTCTTTGTGCACCTGTACCAAAGGCACAGAGAGCAGAGGAGCTCAGCTACTAATCAGTTCTCCATAACTGAGACCGTGTCGGCGTCCTGATGCGTCTCTTAGCTCTTGTGAGAGCAGAGGAGCTCAGCTACTAATCACTTCTCCATAACTGAGACCGTGTCCGCGTCCTGATGCATCTCTTAGCTCTTGATTCTGTTTTGTTGTAAATACGGTTGCTAGTTCAGGAATGGTTCTTATTCAAGTGATTGCCCCGTCCTCCCCGTTTCAGGACGTTGGCACCCAGTTCACTGGCATTGGAGGTTTCCCTCAGCAGTACCCATCAGGCTGCTCATGCCCTGAATGATGGTATAAGTGGAAGAGCTTCCCTGACTCCCCTTACCACTCATGACAGTTGTTGGAGCATGTTATCTTGTTACCACAGGTTCCCCTCCGCTTATCTGGGTGTAGCTGGGGCCTGGTTTTCATGGTAGGTGTTTAGTAAGTGATAATACTCCGTTTTCCTTTGGTTCCTCTCTCTTCTTCGGTTCCCTTTGAAGCCCTACTAGTTCTGCAGAAACCGGTACAAGTGAGCAGCCTGAACTCTAGTTGTCACTGCAAAATCTTCAGGGTCTTTAAATAAAGAATAAAAAAGCCAAGGGGGCCAGACTTACAATTCCTTGGAAGAAGTCAGCCCGGCGCCCACCCTCACAGCGTTTCAGTCCAGAGCAGAGAGACACAACGCCTGCTTCGCTAGAAGGATTCCTCCAGTTGGGGTGGAATCCCTCTGCAAGTCCCCTTTGTTCTCAAGGAGGGCGAGGTGCCGAACGCTGCTGTGAAGGACTCGGCTCTGGGAGGCGCTGAAGTCCAGCAAGCGTGCAGCAAAAGGGCCCAGGCACTCCCAAGGCAATCATCAGTTCAGCTGGGAATAGTGCTGGCCCCGCGGAGGCTACGTCTACACGACAGGGTTTTTGCACAAAATCCCGCAGAGCGTCCACACCAAGTGCATTTTTGCGCAAGTAAATTTACAGTAAATCAAAAGCACAGAGGGGTTTTTGTGGTGAAGGTATTCCCCTTTCTGTAAGGAATAACTCCTTTTTGCGTGGTGTGGACAGGCAATGGGGGTTTTGCACAAAAAGAGCCAATCAGAAAAAGCACAGGTGCTCTGGTGGCTATTCTGTGAATAGCAATCAGAGCTTTCCTTCAAGAGCGCATCCATGCAAACAGATGGACATCTTACCAAATGGATATTGATACCCGCCTCTGGAATTTCCACTCCATGCATCTGACAAAGTGGATCTTTGCCCACGACAGCTCATGCAGTCTGGACGCTGTCTTGCGCAGAAGTGCATTGCTCTTTCGATGCACTTTTGCAATGTGGACGCGCTCTTGCACAAGAAGTTTTTGCAGAAGATCTCTTCCACAAAATGCGTCTTGCGCATGAAGCCTGCAGTGTAGACGTAGGCTGAGAGCAGACCCTGCAGCAGCACCGTCTGGCTCTCAGCAGTGCTGTCCTTGCTGACTCAGCAGCGGCGCGCTGTCCTGGGGCTGTCAGCTCTGGAAGTTTGCTACGGCATGTGGTTTGCTAAGTCTCTTGGTACGGATTGTAATGGAGATCCGGAATCCCGTCTCCTGGTAGAGTTGGCTGCCAGTCAGTAGCTGCTTGCCATTTCTTTTCAGCATTCAGTATTATGGGCCTCTCTGGGCGCACATGGCGCTGTTCAGAAGGAAACCCGTGATATCTCCAGCGCCATCTTCCCTGAGCTAGCCACACCAGTACCTGGCACAGACAGGCATACTCCCTCCGAAATCCCCCGAACTCATCCTGAGATTTGGAGGGTCAGCGAATACCTGCCAGGGTGCATGAAATAGCTCCCAACTCTCTTCCCACTGGGCGCTCTGTCATGGCCAGCCACTAAGACCCATGGCCTGGAAGAGATTGAGCTCCAGGGCCTTCCCCTTCCCTTGGGGCTTCCTCCCTGCCTATAGATCGTCTCCACAGCCTCCTGGCTCTACTTCCTTCAGCAGGCACCCTGACCCATCCCTTCAGGAAACCCCCATTCCTGATACTGGGTTTGTACTGAGCAAGAGCTGGAGGAGGATTCCCCACAGCCAGCTTGGCTTTCACCTCTTCATCATCCAACAAGGCAGTGGTAGCCCAGGGTTCCTCATCTCCATCTGCTGATCACTGAGCCCGTCAGAACCTCTTCTGCTTGGGTAGTCAGTTGGAGGAGGCTTGAGAGAGGTCCCACAGACTTGTTCACATCTCATCATCTGTAGGAGTTTCCCAAGTGACACTAGCAATTAATAAAGCTATCCTGGAGCCCAGCAAAGTGCTGCAAACAAGGCAGTGGTAGCCCAGGGTTCCTCATCTCCATCTGCTGATCACTGAGCCCGTCAGAACCTCTTCTGCTTGGGTAGTCAGTTGGAGGAGGCTTGAGAGAGGTCCCACAGACTTGTTCACATCTCATCATCTGTAGGAGTTTCCCAAGTGACACTAGCAATTAATAAAGCTATCCTGGAGCCCAGCAAAGTGCTGCAAAAAACGAAATGTTTCCCTTCCAGAAATGATCTCTCCTTACAGCAACCTCAGCATTTTACACCGCACCACTCACCCCGTGACAGTCGTTGGTGGGGTTCAGCTGTCCAGAGGCAGGGATAAGCGAGCATTTACCACAAAAGCAAAAGATGCAAGGAAGCGCTATGTTTTTGGCAGAAAACTTGATTCAGCAGCGGAACTACAGTTCAGGTTTGCTGATCAGCAGGCGTCGGCCGGCTCCGATGACCCGAACTTCTCTAGCAGTATCTTGAAGTTGAAGGTTCTTCCCCAGCTCTCCAGCTCCGTACTCTGCGGTCGGATTGGCTGTGCTATTGTCTGTGGCGCTATGAGGTGCTGCTGTGTACTATTGAAATATGTTGAGGTGCCCACAGCTGGCCTTTCAGTAGCAGCAATGGAGTCGTTACTGCTGGTCTGATGGGTGTTAATGCACAACGAGAGGAACCACTATTCCAGAAGCTTCTCAGAGAGGGCAGGTATGCAATGAGGCAGCCTGACCCGTCACAGCAAGGCTCTTTCTTTTTCCAGTGCTTGCTCGTGTCCATTCCAGGTAGGTGTGTGCTACATGCACCGATCCCGGAGCTTTTCCCTTAGCAGTGCCCTTTGGGCCAGCCAGGGAACCCCCTGGAGTGGCACCGCTATATCGGCGCATATTCTACCCCTGCTGGCCCTCCCCCCTACCGTGACGGTAGCTGGAGCGCTGACTACGCTGGTGGCCCTTCCCCTTAGCAGGTGTTTTGAGGATTAGCAATTAGCTTAGTGTCAAGTTTAGATGAAGGAGCCTTCTCCCTTTAAGCCTCTCCCTGGCTGGGGAGGGGATGCCAGGGCTGCAGGGGTTTGAGCCGTGTGCGAAGTGCTTGAAACCTAAGCCCTGCGGCAATCCGTGTGACTCTTGCCCTAAGTGTCTGGGAGAGGGCCATTGCATAGACAGTTGCAACATTTGCAAGAGTTTCAAGCTGAGGACAAAGCGAGAGAGAGAGAGAGAGAGACTAGACTCAGGCTTATCCTCAAGGAGTCCGCTTTGCAGCTGCCGGCACCGGAACAGGCACCGCAGGGGTATGGCGCCCTGGCTTCGGTGTGGGAGTCCTCAGTGGCACCCGCCAGACTGATGGCCACTTCTTCAAAGTCCTTGAGGCACTTTGGTGCCTACCCCTGGCTCTTTGGTGGTGCAGGCAGCGGGGCAG